GACTCCGCCCCTGCTCCCTGCGATGGCTGGTTCCGCCCCTGCCCAGGCCTAACGCCTCTGGCCAAGGCGTTAGGTCTGTGTAGGGGACCCCAGCTCCCCACGATTGCAGGCTCCACCCCTGCCCAGGCCTAATGTCTTTGGCCAAGGCTTTAGGCCTGGGGAAGGGATCCCTAGCTCCCCAGACTGCCGGCTCCGTCCCTGACCAGCTCCCATTGCTGGCTCCACCCCTGCTTCCCGCTATCACTGGCGGGGGCGGCAAAGGCGCCTGGTTCTCTGATCACAGCTGGGGGGCAGGGCAAAGGCAGCCCCCAGGGCCGCCTTTGCCCTGCTCCCGGCTCTTAGCTCCCCCCTGGGTTTCCGATCACCGTCAGTGGCAGGGGGCTTCTTCCGTTCTTTCCCTTTCGCCTCCCAGCATTGTGCCTACATATGCAAATTAGCCGCCATCTTGGTTGGCGGTTAACCACCATCTTGGCTGGCAGTTAATTTGCATATCGCCCTGATTAGCCAATGGGAAGGGTAGCAGTCGTACGCTAATTACCATGTTTCTCTTTTATTAGATAGGATGCCTGCCCCTATCTCCTCCAGGCTTCTGCACATGTCCCTCCTGCTAGGAATATCTCCTCTCTAGGTTTTATTTTATTTTTTTATTTTTATTTATTAATTTGAGAGAGAGAGATTTGTTGTTCTACTTATTCATGTATTCATTGGTTGATTCCTGTATGTGCCCTGACCGGGGATAGAACCCCCAACCTTGGTGTATCGGGACAACGCTCTGACCAACTGAGCTACCTGGCCCAGGGCTCTCCTCTAGGTTTTAGCTAAGAAGTTATTTCTTCTGAGAAGCCTTTCTTGACCTCCCGCTTTTGTGAACCTTACCATTTCCCCGCTATGTTACAATACTGATGTATGTGTCTGTATTTCCGTTAATCTTTAAGCTTTTTGAGGACAAACATTCTGTCCTGCTCATGGCATTATCTGCTGGATCTGAACAATGCCTGGCACACTGCAGTCTATCACTAAATACTTAATTTATTAGTAAGATTCTATTCACAACTCAACCAAAAAAAAGTTCCTCTCAAAATTTCTGTTCAAACGTCATTATCACCTTTTGAAATAGTTCTTAAAATCCCAAAGAGTTTTCTTTTGACATCTAGAACACTTGCAACCACCTTTCCTGAAATAGAACTTAAACACATTTTAATACCCAAGAGAAATGTATTGTAGAAAAGACTACGAATGGAAATTGGCCACAAAGCCAAATACCACACACACCAGCTCCTAATTTCTGTAACAAATATTCATTCAACAACTTTAGAGAAACATTAAACTAAGGTCTCTTTTACAACTGAGGTTCTATACTTTCATTAAGTGCATAAATGTCTACTATGCACAAAGCTTTAGCATTCTATAGTAACAAACTCGTCTTCTCAGAGTATTTTCTCTTCCCTCACATATTGTCTACCTTCTGATTACCTATTAATTTTTACCTATCCTATAGTGTCTGTGTATCCCTTATCTCAAGAATTAACCTGATTGCCCTGGCGAGTGTGGCTTAGTTGGTTGGAGCATCATCCCGTACCAAAAGGTCTTGGGTTCAATTCCTGGTCAGGGCTCATACCCAGATTGCCAGTTTGATCCCTGGTCGGGGTGCATATGGAAGGCAACCAATCTCACATCAATGTTTCTCTCTCTCTCTTCCCCTCTCCCTTCCTATTGGAGTGACATTGGTTAATAAAATCACATAGGCTTCAAGTGTACATTTCTATGATACATGATCTGCACATTGCATTGTCAGCAGTCATTCAAGGCCATGTATGAGAAATACCAAGTTATAAAATGTAGTAGCCTATAAAGCAACATGACTGGTTTTCTATGTAACTTCAATGTGATTAATTCAAAGACCATCATTTCCCTTGGCTACTTGCTTATCAAAGAGTTTGGTCACTGCCCTTGCAAGCTGCTCAATGGTTAGAGTGGACTGAAAGATCCTTGGACTGAAGGATCTCAGGTTCAATTCCTGGTCAAGGCACGCATCTCGGTTGCGCATGCAGGAGGCAACCAATCCATTGTTTCTCTCCTATTGATGTTTCTCTCTCTGTCTCTCCCCATCCCTTCCACTCTCTCTAAAAATCAATGGAAAAAATATCCTCAGGTGAGTATTAAACACCACCAAAGAGTTTGATAATTAAAAAAATGTAATGTTAACTAAAAGTTTCAGAATTCTACTAAAAAAAAAAACAAATACAAAAAAAAATCAGAATTCTAAATTATGTATACTATGTCCCACAATGTAAAAATAAGAAAAATAAGAAAAGTCTGTAAACAAAATTTGGAAAATAAAATGTAAAATAAATATTGTTGTGAGAGAGGACTTGTTTTTCCTTTTTCAAAAGTATTTCATGTTGTGATATCTTTCTTTTTTAAATATATTTTATTGATTTTTTTTACAGAGAGGAAGGGAGAGGGATAGAGAGTTAGAAACATCGATGAGAGAGAAACATCGATCAGCTGCCTCCTGCACACCCACTACTGGGGATGTGCCCGCAACCAAGGTACATGCCCTTGACTGGAATCGAACCTGGGACCATTCAGTCCGCAGGCCGACGCTCTATCCATTGAGCCAAACCGGTTAAGGCTTGTGACATCTTTTTAATAATTTTTTAAATCATAGTCATTACTTCATACTCACATATCATACAGAACGGTATGTTCTATTTAGTGAGAAATAAGACTTAAAACTCTTTCAACTTTCTATTATATTTCTAAATGCTACAGAAAAGGTAAGACTCACTTTTTTTAAATGTATTGCTTTTACCAGAATGCTGAGCTTCCAGATAAGTAAAATCTTTTTGAAATCAGAGCATAAGCTCTTAAGGTCAGTTTAATTCATCCAACAATGAATAAATATCAAATATTCTTTTACCATAAATACTACAATTTAAAAATATATGTGGTCAGAACCCCAAATTTTATTAAGATACATGAAAAAGACTAATGGAGTCAATCATGTTTCTAATAGTTCATCACTATTTGTAAAAAAAAATGTTTAAAAATCCCCAAAACTTAATAGAAATTCATAATACATTAAGAACAATCTAAGGTATTTTCCCTTTTGCCTTCTGTACCATAGTCTACTGAAGATCTCCAACTTGATTCAGAAATAGAAAAGCTTGTGACCCAAAAAAAAAAAAAAAAAAAGCTTGTGACCAAGAAATAAGTCATATAGATAGCAGACAGAAACAGAATTAAAGCAATTAAGTGAGTCACTGCATCTCACCACACTCTAGGTTTTGTCTATACCTAACAAAAATGTTGCATTAGAAGAAATAATGTGAGGTTAAAACAATCTGAGTTCCTTAAGGGGTGGTAGGATAGCATAAAAACTGAAATTAAACAGGTAGCATATTAAACCATCTCTAAAAAACCTGAATAAAAGATTAATAATCTTCAATATCTGATTCACTACAAAGGTTTTTCTATATAAACATAATCAACAATTTGTATTAACTTATATACACAATAATTTTCTCAATAACAATGATCTGCTTAACCATTGGGAAATCCATTACATCTTTAATCACAAAAATTTTTAAATATTAAGTAAAGTTATCCCACTCTTCATCCCAGTTTAATTACAAATTTCACTTTGCCAACTCTGGCGTGATGTTTCCTACCCACAGGCTAATGCACCAATCACCTAGCTACTATTGCAGAGCAACAAAATAAAACCAGCTTTAATTGTAAAACAGCAACTTGCATGCAACCTGCAGGACTTAAAACAACGTAAAATCGTATTTAACCAGACCTTGCACCTCTCAAACACTCCGTTCATTAACAGCGGAGCCGTTCTCTGCCTCTAAGAAATGACCAGATAAAGGACAGATCTCCTAAGGAAGAAGAACGAATATTCTGACCTCCTTCCAAAACGACCAACTCGAACGGCAAAATCACACTCGCCGCACGAGGAACGCGTCCCTCAAATCACTCCACGGAGAACTTCATCATGTGCTCCGCCCTCTAATAACTCATGCAAAAAAAAGTTCAGCACCATCAGAGACACAAGCCCCCGAGAATGCACAGAATGGCCGAGGGCCTTTCCTCCGGGCGGTGAGAGGCTCGGCGTGTGCCCTTGGCCAGGGCCCAGAGGAAAAGAGAAGCCGAGCGTGTGGGGGATGGATGACTGACATCCAGAAACTGATTTTCCCTCGAAGAAGTTTCTGCCGCCATCCCTATTTTATCAGCAGGAGGCCCCGGCGCCATGGTCTCAGTCTCGGTTTCATTATGGGGAGGTGGGAAACGCCACCCCGGATTCCACCGGGCCTTCCCTATTAAGTTGGGGGGCGGGGGGGTCCCCCTCATTCTTCTCTGAAAACCTCAGTCTTGAAAGCGCTCCTCAGCCCCCCTCCCCCTCGGGCGGCCTATCCCGCGGGATCGGGGAAGGCGCCGCCGACACCACCGGCGTCGCCGTTAAGACGGGAGGCCCCACACACTCCAGGGCCACGAGCGATGGTTCCGAGGGGCCCCGAGAAGGGCAGGGCAGGCCAGGGACAGGGGGAGAAGGACCTGGCCGAGGCAGGAAGGCAAGAGGGAAGGGGATGCACTGCACCCCATGGATGCACAGCAAAGAGAGGAGGATGAAGAAGGAGGAGGGCGGTGGCCCGGGCGCGGCCCCCCACCTCGACCGCCCCCAGGTCCCTGGGCCGGCGGGGGCGAGGGGGCTCGGCCCCTTCTCCGGGTCTGGGCTGACAGGGGGTGGGGAGCCTCCCTCCACACGACGAGGAGACCGAGAACCAGGGTGTGGGGTGCGTGGGGGGAGGGGGAGGCCGTCTGCCGCCTGGACCCGGAGACCCGACGCCGTCGTCGCCTCTTCCTCGGGAGAGAGGACGGGAGCGGTGGGGAAAGCCCGAGGGAGGACTGCAGGGAGGTACGGGGCAGCCCGGGGCAGACCTGCCGCCCGCTCCAGACCCCACTCTCCACCTTCCGGTAACCGCGTCTCTTACCGGTGATGGCGGTGAACTGCTGAATTAACCCCTTCAGCGCCGAGGACGCCGCGGAGCCCCCGTGGGCAGCCATCTTACCGCCGCCCCCCTGCCGCGGAACAACAACACAGACACACACAGAGACCGCCCTCCCCCACCTCGCCGTTCGGTCTGCGCAGGCGCACTCGCAGGCGCGCCGAGAGTGGTCCCTGCTCCGCGGGTTCGCTGTTCCGTTGCTGCCTGCGGCCGCGGTCTTCTCTGCAGCCTCCGGTGCCTTGCTCTCCGAGCTCCCAGGCCGTTCTCCTAGACGCAGCATTGGTTTCTGGTTTCCGAAGGAATGGTCGGGCTTGGCAGGTAGTAGGCTTTTCGCGTTTCAGTTTCACAAGCCTTATTGGCAGACCCAACTGCCCAAGACATTCTTTTTCTTCTTTTGCAGCTCCATAGCCTTCCGCTAAGTCTCCTGTAGCTCCCATCAAAATACAAATTCTACATCATCGCACCGAAGCGACTTTCGCCGTGCTTCCCACCCTCTAAACTAATTGCATAGCTAACCTAGTGCGGGGACCCATCCAACAGAAGTAAAATACCAGGACCCTTCGCACCAATAAAGCACTGGGTGCAGAGTCTGACACATGGTAGATGCTAATGAACTATTGTCCAGTCCACTTTCCTTCAGTAAATTTGTCAACATGTCTCCCCTCCAGGTTTCACTTAGTTTCCTCACCTACAAAGCGAAGAGGTGTCATTTTTGTAAAAAAATAAAAATAAAAATATGTGTATGTATATGCAGAAGAGGAAAAAAAATGTATAGAAAGGGTACTGGCAAGGTGTCCTCAAAACGGTAATGGGCCCTAACCGGTTTGGCTCAGTGGATAGAGCGTCGACCTGCGGACTGTGGGGTCCCGGGTTCGATTCCAGTCAAGGGCATGTACCTTGGTTGCGGGGATGGGCACATCCCCGGTGGGAGGTGTGCAGGAGGCAGCTGATCGATGTTTCTAACTGTCTATCCCTCTCCCTTCCTCTCTGTAAAAAAATCAATAAAATATATTTTTTAAAAAAAACGATAATGGTTTCCCCTAGAGAGGAAGGCAATAGACGGGTAGTGAAAGGGGATTTTTCGGGGGTTCTTATCCTATTTATTTATGTGTTTACTTTCTTAATCCTCACCCGAGGATATTTTTCCATTGATTTTTAGAGAGTGGAAGGGAGAGGAAAGACACAGAGAGAGAAACACACATGTGTGAGAAAACACATCCATTGGTTGCCTTCCACAGGGGATGGGGATTGAGCCTGCAACCAAGGTAAGTGCCCTTGTCCGGAATTGAACCCAGGACCCTTCAGTCCACAGGCCAACACCCTATCCACTGAGCCAAACTGGCTAGGGCTATCCTTTATTTTTAAACAAAGACAATATTAGTACTTTAGTTACATAATTTTAAATATTTTAAAAATCCTCACCAAGGATATGTCTTTATTGATTTTTTAAATATTTTTTCTTGATTTCAGAGAGGAAGGAAGAGAGATAGAAACATCAATGATGACAGAGAATCATTGGTTGGTTGCCTCCTGCTGCCCCCTACTGGGGATCCGGCCAGCAATCCAGACATGTGCCCTAACAAGGATTCAAACCATGACCTCCTGGTTCATAGGTCAACACTCAACCACTGAGCCACACTGGCCAGCTTTATTGATTTTTTAGAGGGAGAGGAAGAGAGAGGAAAAAAAAACATTGATGTGTGAGAGAAATGTGCACATCCCAACTGGGGATCGAACCCACAATCTTTTGGTATACGGGACAATGCTTCAACCAACTGAGCCACCTGGCCAGACCTTAATATTTTTTTAAGAAGTTGTAGGGGTCCACTCAAATCTGATGATCTCCCACCTTGAGAATAAAGTTAAAGAGACTCAGGTTAGGTTCTAGCTTCCCACCTCCCAACCCCACCTATATATTTGGCATCTACATGTGAAATGGTCCATGAAAAGATGGGATGAGTCATTTGGAGAATTGACCCATCCTAAGAGTCTGTAAATGTGTTATTGGGGTGAACAAAGAGATAGCAAAGTCAAGGTAACTATGAGGTTATGTCGTTTCAGGAAGATACGACTGGTGTATAAGAAAGCAGATTCCTGCCCTAGCAGTTTGGCTCAGTCGATAAGAGTGTCAGCCTGTGTACTGAAGGGTCCTGGGTTCAATTCTGGTCAAGGGCACATACCTGAGTTATGGGCTTGGTCTCCGGTGGGGGCGTGCAGGAGGCAGCTGATCAATGCTTCTCTCTCCTCATTGATGTTTCTGTCTCTTCCTCTCTGAAAACAATAAAAATTCAAAAAATAAAGCAGATTCCTAATCAAGAGCATTGCCAGTGCAAAGATTGATCCTGGCACCACCTTTCAGGTTGCTGCAGTTCCCTATGTGGGTTTAGGAATCCCAGGGACCAGTCATGGATTTGGGAAGCTGTTTGGTTAACATTGACACATAGGTGCAAAAAGGGGGGAAACCAGAGCAAGAAACAATGTGATCTCTTCCTTCCTAAGGCCTTAATCCGAAAGGCTGTGTCAATATAGCCAAACATGCAAAATCAGGCTCCAAATAAATGGTATAATCCCATTGACTACAATAACTAGACGTAAATATCACTGCACCTCCATTAAATGGAGAGGCTAATAATGAGATCTGTATGTTTATTTCCAAGGTCTTAAAATTCAAAAATACAGATTTTTATTTATTTTTTTTTACCCAGGAATTTAATTTTTTTATTATTATTTATTGTTGAAAGTATTACATATGTTTCCCGTTGTCCCCCCCATTGACCCCCTCCAGCCTGCCCCCCCCTC